CCCCCCCCCCCCCCCCCCCCCCAGGACGCAGCGTACCCTCCATGCGACTCGCCGAATACCTAACGGCGCTTCGTGCTTGGTGATGCGTAGAGCCTGGTTCGAAAAATATCGCTCCGTCCCGGCTTTGCAGGGATGCGAGGTCAATGGTCTAACGATACGAGTACACCCCCCCCCCACCCCGCCGCCCGCTTCTCTACGCAAGCCGTCTCTCAAGGTCGGTGAGCGTGTTCTTAGTCACAGTAGATGAACCGATACGTGGTACGCAGGGGCCAGGGGGAAAAACATGCAACTATTCGGTGCAGGCAGTGCCACTGTTCGATACACCGGGTGCATGTACATGTTGAGATTTGTGCAAGGAGATTTTGATGCAACTACAGTATATCGGCAGTTCCACCTATTCAAGTTGTCACTATATCGGGCCGTCTGCAGTACTTCTCCTATCCTACTCTCTCCGCCCCAACGTCAGCGACCCCACTGGGCTTGTCAGCCACTTCCCCCCTTGTCCACCGGCGCCGTGGTGGCGTGAGTGGTTGTTCCATCACTTCCATTTTTCTGCTGGACGTTTGCATAGGACATCTAACAGGACGGAATCGTAGAATCCGACAAACCGACATGTGACGTGGGAGCAGAAACAACCGCGGGAAAAGTGCGAGAGAAGGAACGGCCAACCACAATCGATGTCGTCTGCTTTGCAAAAGTCGTTGGAAAAATGGAAGACAAGAGATAGAAAACTACGATCAATGTCGTCTGCTCCCAAGTGATGTGCTGGTCTATCGGATCCTACGATTCCGTCCCCTTAGCTGTTCTTTGCACACGTCCAGCTGAAGCCTCGCACTTGTCTTTTGCAGCTTGTTGCAAGTGTGACCTGTTCGCAAGACGTCAACAACACTTTCCACCGTTCTCATACCCCACGATCAGTGTCACGGTTTCTGCTGGACCGTTGCATGGACATCTACTGTTATTACCGCTGAAGCACAGAAACCGATATTGTACCAAGACACCGCTGGGCGCAGACGCCAGTGAATATGGTTTTTCACATCGTCCGTTCCCTCTTCCGCCACTGTTACCCACTTGCGGGACAACCGTGGTGGGAGACGGAAGCATCAATATGGGAAACCACCATCAATGCCGTCTGCATCAAATTGGTGTGGTGGTATTATATCGGTTTCTATTATTTCGCGCCACTAGATAACCTTGGTCACTAGAAAACCTTGGTAGACGTCCAACAGGGTGAATTCCTGCAAGCGTGAGCTGTCGCAAGACTCCAACATCATGCTTGCCTGTTTTTGTGCTGCTCACAGAGGCTACCACAAGAAAGCATTGTGCGTGTACATATATGACGCCCCGTTCGCTTCTGCAATGATTCGATTCCGGAAGGGGTATGGGACAGCCTGCCCCACCAACGACCGCTGCGTATTTTTTTCTCAAAGCTAAGACAGAGCTAGGACGATACAACCACGACTACTGCTACGCATTTTTTTTCTTAATCACAAGTCCCTGCCGCACCTTCGACGACTGATTTCTGCCTTCGGCAAGCGTGGAATCAGCAGTAGCGGCGGCCCCACTACCGCCTCTCGATCCCGCTGCTCGCGAAGGCGCGTCGGGGGTCGACGGCGGCTCAACAGCCATCGGCGTTGCCACGGCCATCGGGGTCGGAGTCCCCGGTGCCTGCGGTTGCGGCGGCGACATTGTGCCGCTCCTCCCGGCGGTGGTATCAGCGGCCGCCGCCGCCGCCGCCGCCGCTGCTGCGCCTCCGGCCTCCGGTGGGCTACCGTCATCGTCGTCGTCGTTATTGTCACCGTCTCCGCCGCCGCCGCCGCCGCCGTTTCGCTCGGGGTCGGTCTCGCCCTTTTCTTCCTCCACACCGCCGCCGCCGCCGCCACCGCCGGTGCCGCCGCCGCGACCTGCACCACCACCGCTACCACCGCTACCACCGTGCCGGCGGATTGCCGCCATCTCCGCCTCCATAGCCGCTGCTGCTGCCGACGTTGACCATCCTCGCGACGCCGCCGCCGCACCCGAACCTGCGGACCCCGATGCTGCGGACGCTGACGCCGGTGCCAACGCCGAACGAGACGATGACGACGACGACGACGCCGCGTCGATGGACGGGGGGGGCTCGCCGGCCATGGCCAGGGCGGCCTCCCAGTCCCGCCGCTGTGTTCCAAAGGGGGTAATGTCAGATGATTGGCAGTCGGCGTTGCTGTGTGCTTGCATGGAAGATTGAAGAGGCGTGCGACAAGTACACGCCTACGTCCAGATTCGTACTGAAAATTGAACCCGCCTTTGATGAACGAAAATAAGTACATCATCAACACTACTATTATAGCCGCCACAGTAGAGATGAAGAAAACAAGAACCTCCTGCTCCCATTCGTGTGGGGACGTCGACACACAGTGTCACCCCCCCGCCGCGAAGGAACACGTAGCGTCACCCCCCCGATAGATAGTATTTCTTCTGTCGTGGCGGCAAGATGAGTTGATACGAACACTTTCCCGCAGACCCTAAAGGTGTGACACGTGTGTGGTGCACGTTTTCGTCGCGTCTGTGTTCTTGGCGGCAGTCCACACCGTTCCTGTTGTTCTCTTGCTTTGCTTTATTCTATATTCTTACATTTTTACTTTCATTTGAACTTTTACAGAACGTGCAGCAAGACTGTTTGGTGTTGTGTTGCGAAGCAGCCGCGCCACCACACTAGAAAGGCCTCCGGGAAAGCAGCGATTCTCGGCAGCGCGCCGTACATAGCTGACGTAAGGAATAGCACATCCCCTGGACCCATACTAAAGGCTCCATAGTTCCACGGCGAGCTAGGATGTATAACGCGTCGAGCGATACGTTTTCGGTTCCAACACCGCCATTCTCGACGCCACCACTCTTTCTGCCGACGAGACGGTGCTAACGCCGCCAGCCTCTCTCTCTGCCGTGGAGTAATCGAGCTTTGAAAAATCACCCCACGGGGTGTGATATCTTGTGTCTCCAATGGGGAAGAACAGCGCAAAATTAGTACCTGGGGATGCCCCGACGGCCACATCTGCATCGTGGACGCAAACGGCCCCGCCGCGGTCAGGTTCCGGTTCGATAGCCGCCGCAGTAGCGACAGCGCCACCTTCAGCACCTCCAGCATCGGGGCCGGGAGCTCCCGCTCCTTGACCTTCTCCCCGCCGGCCGCCGCCCCCGCCGCCGCCTTCCGCACCTCCTCGTCGCGGCCGTCCATCGACCGGTTGAACGCCTCCCAGCCTTGCTGACCGCCCGAACCCGCCGCCGCCGTCGCCCGGTTGTCTCCACAGATAGCGGCGGTGACCCCCCCATAATTCTGGCCCTCCTCTCCAACAACCCCGCCCTTGAACGGCGACGTAGGGCTAGCGGGAGCCGACGAGCCGTCGGGGGGCCCCGCGGTCATCTCGAGGGCGGAGTTGAATATGTAGGAGCAGGCGCCGAGGAGGCTGCGGAGGGGGTGTTCTCTGCGCTCCATCCGCACCAAGAGCTGATAATTTCGGAAGGCAAAGGGTGTTTTTTTTTTTTTGGGGGGGGGGGG